GAACACTTTGTGATCATTTTTGTACTGTGCCCAGACTCATTAGTGGTGTAAAAGCAGGCTGGATTCTTGCAAACAAATCCATAACTTAAGAGGAATTGCCCTAATAGAGAATGGCATCTAACATGCACCCTTAACAATAGTATTTGACGGACAAAAGTGTATCTGAAGGACTGGAGTGAGTAAAAGCCTTGCATAAATATTACACAAACTAGTATTCTTTGTGGAGCAACTCTCCGATGCATCAGTTAACAAGTGGTCCTCTGTCTATATTGAGTGATCTGCATTGTTGACTTGAATTTACAATTGTCCATCAAACAGTCACTCCACTTTACAGTTACAGTATATCCTGTGAAGTGCTTTGGAGAACATCCTCTTGACATGAAGGATGCTATATCAAATGTAAGTATTCCATTTAGAGCTACTGTATCTGAACTGATTTCATTGCTTATAATATTTTACACTGTAAGCCAACACCTTAAACGTACTTTAGGTCTTGTTCAATCCTGTACGAGTTAAGCTATAAACATTTGGAAGTCCATTGGTGTAGAAGAATTAATTTACTTTAATGCATCTTTTTGCTCAGGTGCTTGATCCTGGACTACCCACTCACTAAAGCTGATTGGGTGGAAGAGAGGAAAGAGGGGATGGTGTGCCCATGAAGTAGGGGGACATGGTCTGGTATATTCAAATGCGAGTCAGGGTGAGCTGAAAATAGTTCTATTGTGTTTGAAGGTGGGTGCTGAATGAAGAAAAGGGAAACTTCCTGCCTTGCTTTATAGGAACATCTTTATTATTTTGAACTGAAGTTTCATTAGTCCTGTAGCAAGCGAGAGTACCTGGGTTCGATTCCCAGGAGGATGAAACCTTAGGTAAGTTTTCTTACTGCTAGGTTAACAGAGGTTGTTAGTCAATTAGTGGATTGCTTTTCCGGGGGTAATAATCCCTTTAAAATAAATACATAATAATAATTTGGTCACTCAATTCACCACTGTTTGTGGGATATTGCTATGCACAATTGGCTGCTGTGTTTCGCCCACAAAATATACAGTCACTACAGTTTATACTTTATTCTGTGAAAAGCTTTGAGATATCTTGAAGTGATAAGGCACTATATCAAATGCAAGGATTACTATCACACATGTAGCTGAGTTTCGTCCTTGTAAGTTTTTGCAGAAAGTGCATAGCCCATATCATTTGGTTGTCTTCTTGTGGATCTCTGCCTTCCATGTACATTGGTGACAATCTGCGGGATTCTCAAATCCTGCAGGAACCCAGATGTCATTGTGCCAACCTGCCTGAATTTCATTCTGATGCCAGTCTCCTGCCAGGGACATCCTTTGGCTTTCGTCTGATTTAAATCCTTGCAATTGATTCCAGCACCTTTCATGTCAGGAGGACATCTCTAACGCTTCATTGTTTTTATTGTAAATTGAAACTGGTGAGCATTTGCCTACTCCCTTTACAAATTGTTCCATGGGATCTTTACAGTCCACCTGACCAGGCAGATAGGACCTCAATTTAACGTATCATCCAAAAGAAAGTACCTTATAATTCAGTGTTCCCCAGGACTACCTGGACATGTCAGCCGAGATTAGGAATTCAAAGTCCCAATGTGGGACTTGAACCTATATCCTAACTCTAACCAACTGAGCCTGGCTGACTTCACAGATGGGGCAAACAAGAGGCTTTCAAGCAGAGTTCTGGTTGGTTGACATAAATCTCACCCAGGTATGTGCAGGATTCAATATTTGTATATCTTTTTACAAATCCTAAATTTAATCCCAAACTGATTTGAAGTCCAATTTTGGGGATGGGTAGATTGCTATAAAGTTGCTTTTTTGCGTAAAAGCCCAGCAAGTTGCCGACAGACCGCCAGAAAAACTTTGGCCCTACTTTCTACCTAACATTTAATGATTTGGCCATTAAGGTGCAAGTTGCAACCAAGATTTTTTTAAAATCTACAATATTATCAAATGTAGCTCCGCTTCAGGGAAGTCTAAAACTTGTTGGCTGTTTGATCATTTAGAAGAAGGTAAGATTAAGCCTATCTTCTCTCTGAAAGTGGATTTAGTTGGTCTTGAAATCTGATTTACTTTCTTATGTTCTAGCTATTGTTCACACATGATACACACACTCTACAGATATACTGTAAAGTGCTTTGAGACATCATCACAGCAAGAAAGGTGTTATAACAAATGTAATGCATTTTCCTTCAATGTGAAGCTCTAAAAACTATAGGAGAGCTGCCCCTGCGGACATTCAGAAGTGAACTGCAGTCCACTTTGAACTGAGCTAAACCAGTTGCTTGCTTGCACTGTGGAATCTGATTAAGATTTCATCAAGTCAGAAAAGCTCAGTTTTTACTCCACTGTATTAGTTGCCAACAGCCTTTGATCCTAGTTTTCAATGCTACAATCTCTTCTGTAAATGGACTCATTCCATAGATCATACCTGTGGGACAGTAGTGGAGGATCTCGGAGTTGATTGAGTAAAGGTGAGTAATTGGAGTTTAGATACAGATCAACCGTGATCTAATAGAATGGAGGAACAGGCTCGAGGGGCTGAATGGCCTATTCCTGTTCCTAAAAGATCCGTTATGGAACACAGGAATCTCTCTCTCTCGGGAAGTGTGAAGTTCAGGCTTGACTCGTGGTTCTTTTGAATATTATCAAACTCTTCGATCACCCGGACCGTGTAATATTAAAGGGTGAGTTGAGGATGTTCATAGTGAACTAGTCTCTTCAGGGGTCACCACTTGCTCAGGATATCTTAACTTCCCAAGGCTTTTTGTATCTGATTTATAATTGGCAAGTAATTCAAAAAGTAATGTGTAGATGATCAAATATCGCCATCTACCGATGGAATGGATGTTAGCTTCAATCTGAATGATGGTTCGGATACTGACTGCCATCTTCAGGGATGAAGGAATGAGGCGAAGAAAATTGTGAGCCTATTAAAATTGCAGGATTGAAGGGGGGAAAATGATGTGCACATTTTTTATGTCTTTCTAAATTACCAGGAATACAGATGTTGCAGCTTGTTTTTAAAAAGACTTTATTACGACTATTTATGGCATTTGATGATTTTTTTTAGAAAGGCTGACCAAGTTATGATCTTGAAGTGTTGCACTCGATGTTTATGTATGTTTGGTGCCCGTAGTGTATAGTTGATGTAAACTGAGCAGGTGAGCAATCTTTCAGTCCTGTAGCTCAGTGATTTAGAGCACTCACCTCGCCATTGAGAGACTTGGGTGGTTGGGGGTGCGTGGGGCACAGGCATGTGTGATTGGGACTGAAGAATAGAATGCTATCTTAAAGATCCAGCAGAGATCTTTAAGATGTTTAAGTAGAGATGGGCTAGTTAGCCAGCTATCCGCTATATAAAATTTCTAAACATTTTCTCTGGGGTTTTAAGATTTTGTTTTAACATTGATTTCAGAAAATGTGAAACATCGGAGCACTTGAGGACCAAGAAGCGAGCCTTATTTTAAAAATGCTGCCCTTTAAAACCAACATGAATCATTTGTCTTGCAAATATTTCCAAAAGGTCTGATCGGTCACCTTTAGGCAATTACAATGAATCCAGTCCCCGTGTAAAAACCAGATTGACTTTCTCTGTAACGTAATACAGTGACCTTGATTTGTGACTTGATGTCAAACTGTTTTCGTATAGCAGAATTTTTTATGGCCTGGGAGGACTGCAATGCAGAGGAGCTTGCTTGCCTGTAAGCTCTCACCAGTTGGGTGAGGGGATGGTTTGCTCTGCTCTGACACAAGTCTGGGCTATCACATGGTTCCTCTCACAGGGCTGCTCGCTGCAGTACTTGCCAAATGGATTCAGGGGGATGATTGTTGCTTGGAGAGCTCTTGAAAGGTGAGAATGATTCAAATTGAAGCAAGCGTCTCTGAGCCTTAATAATGCTTTTGGTTTTAAAATGTTGTACAAGAAGGTCAGTATTTGCATATGAAATGTTTAGTTTGATTGTGTGGTGTGTAGTTTTGGGGACGTGTGTGATTTTTAAAAAAAAATTCTGGCAATGTGCTTTGAGTTATTTGTGTGTTGAGAGAGAAACTGTTGTGATTGAACAGCTAGCTGGAGCTAACTGAGGTGATGGTGGGGGAGGGGGGGGAATCTGTATTGCTAATTAGAGTTTCAATTTTAATCAGCTTTTTAACCACACACACACTTAACTTGCTTGCTGAGGCTTCAGCCCCTCACAGGGTCCTCAAAACAGGGAAAGATGCATTTCTTATTGACTGGGTTACTTATGAGAATTTAAAATGTTTTAAATTAATTTTCAGTCGTTGTCATTGCAAATTTTGACATTGAGGCTTCCTTGCAACAAAAGCCATTTTTTATTTGCCATGAAACCATCTTTACCTCAAAAGGCCTCAGTATGCTTTAGTTGCCTCTAGGATAAATAGGCATCTAGTTTTCACCATTTTCCCAGTTCTTACTAAGTTCCAGATCCTTGTTTTTTTACTACCTTGTTCCAGACTAGAATCTTCAAACAATTTTCCTTGAATTCTCCTTACAATTTTTCCTGAATTATCCTTACCAAAATGACTTTGCCTTGTATATTCTCAAATCTCCCATCCCTTCCATTCTTAACTTCTACCAGTGTTTCTTTTAACAAAAGTGCAGTTCCGATAACTCAATTGGATAGACAGCACTAATCTGTGCAAGGATTGATACTTACACCATTAGGTTTGTACGTGAGACCTTCAGCTGTTCAGGCAGATGTTAAAGATCCTGCGGCTGTACTCAGAGAATTGAGTCTCTCCGAGTCTCCTGGCCAACATTTTCCCCCAAACAAAATTTGTCATTCAGTTCATGGTTGTTTGTGAGACGTCATTGCTGTGTGCAAACTGACTGCTGTGTTTGCCTACAAATTTCACAGTAAATTCTGTGAAGTGTTTTGAGACTTCTTCCTGATGCTATATCAAATGCCAGTATCATATCAAAGTACATTGAGCTAAATATTTTGTTTTGTCTTACAGTTGAGCAAGACAAGGCAGTATCCCAGAAAGTACAGGACAAAATGGAAATTGACCAAGAGGTGGCTGTCCAAACGAATGGGGAAGAGGAACAGAAGAATGCCCAAGAAGGCAAGGCTCAAACAGGCACAGATACTGGAGAGCAGCAGGAAGTATCTGAGGGAGCGCAGGCCGGGGAAATTGGTTTTAAAAAGGTCTTCAAATTTGTGGGCTTTAAGTTCACAGTAAAGAAAGAGAAATCTGTGAAGTCTGAACCAGTTCAACTGCTGACAGTGAAGAAGGATGAGGAGGTCACTGCTGCCGAAGGGGGTGATGAATCCAAGTCAAAAGGGGAAGTAACGGTAGACCATGAAGTGGCTTCAGCTCCTGAAGAATCTTCTTCTGAGACGAGCCCTCCTGAAGCTCCTTCCCTGGAAAAAGTAGATCAAGTTATTGAGCAGGCAGCTACAGAAGCAGAGCCTGGGCAGACAGCCACTGAGCCTGTGGAGACGGTGCCCGCAATCACAGAAGCGGTAGAGCCTGCCACAGAAGCGGTAGAGCCTGCCACAGAAGCGGTAGAGCCTGCCACAGAAGCGGTAGAGCCTGCCACAGAAGCGGTAGAGCCTGCCACAGAAGCGGTAGAGCCTGCCACAGAAGCGGTAGAGCCTGCCGCCACAGAAGCAGAGACTCTGCAGACAACCACGGAAGCAACGGCGGCTGAAGAACCTCTGAAACCCGCCGAGTCTCCAGTTAGCCCAGTGGAAAGCAATGCAGCAGCTTCTCCTTTCAAAAGGTTTTTTAAGCAAGGATTCTTTTCCGGATTACGGAAGAAGCCAAGCTTTAAGAAAACTCCAGAGGAGATGTTAGTTACTGAAAAGACTGAGATGATTGCAGTGAAGGGAAGTGAAGGGCAGGAAGATAAACTAAATGGCAGTGGCAAGGAGGGGAATGAGGAAATTGATCAAGAAGCTAAACCCCAACCCTCAACTCCAGAACAAGTACAAGACATGGCAGGTCTCCAGACTGAAATCACTGCAGAAGAAAAGTCAGAGAAAGTGGCTGATATTGGAGACTTTGTACCAGCTCTGAATGATGATGATACTATGATTAAAGGCATAACTACAGATGTTTCAGCTGAACCAGGAAAGGTCTGCACTCCTGTGCAATCTGAGGTCAATCAGATCAAACCAGCATCTGCCCCAGTTCAGCAAGCTGAGGCCCTACCACAGTTGGACACCACAGTTATTGAGGCTCCAGCGGAATCCCAACCTGAAAAGGCAGCAGTAAGCCAGGAAAAATTCACCACTGAAGACATAGTCAATGAGGCTGAGCTGCTTTCTTCACAAGAAAAAGCTAAGTTGCAAGGAAGCCCCCTGAAGAAGCTCTTCACAAATAGTGGGATAAAGAAGCTGTCTTCAAAGAAGTCAAAAGGAAGGAAAGAAGAAACAAAAGTAGAGGAACCAGACGATGCCAAAATGCAGATGCATTCCTCGACCGAGTCTGAAGAAAGTCCTGATGGCCCCAAATCAGAAAGTCCGGTAACTTCTCCAGAAGAGATGCCCAAACCAGGCATTAGTGAGGTAATGCCACTAGATACGACCCATGTTAATGGACACGGAGAAAATGGTAGTGCTGACTCTGAGAGGAGGAAAGAAGGGGTTACGGCTTGGGCTTCGTTTAAGAGATTAGTGACACCAAAAAGACATCCAAAACGGCCATCGGACAGTGACAAAGAAGATGACCAAACGGAGAAAGCAAAGACCTCAACAATATCTTCCACTGAGAGTGCTGCCTCGGCCACCTCAGCTGTCTCCGTGGAGAAGCCACCTTCTCCCATCGAGAAGCAGGAAGAAAGTGTGCCAAATGCTGAAGAGCAAAAACTAGAGCGTAGCAATGAAGATCCTAGAAAGAAAGTGGATGCCTCAGTCTCATGGGAAGCTTTAATCTGTGTAGGATCTTCTAAAAAGAGAGCTAGAAAGCCATCCGACCCCGAGTCCGTAAAGCCAAGTGAAGAGATGGAGAAATCAATGGAGGAAAGTGAAGCAGTGCAAGATCATGTTGATGAAGAAGTAAAAACCAGCAGCACTCAAGACACTAACCAAGAACCAGTTGGAACATCTCCAGAACGTCTTGAGAGCCCTGTAGAAGAAGCAACTGAGGGGACGGTCTCAACGTGGGAATCTTTCAAAAGGTTAGTGACACCGAGGCGCAAGTCAAAATCTAAACTGGAGGAACGGATTGAAGAGCCTACAGTGAATGTTGACGCTGTTCCTCCAGAGAGTGAACCTGTGAAAGAGGAATCCTGGGCTACTTTCAAAAAGTTGATTCCTGGCCGAAGGAAAAGAAAGTCTGATGCTAAACCGGAGCATGTTCAGGCTGAGAAATTGACCGAAGTTGGAGAAAACAAAAGTGATGAGGAGTCTGAGACGCCAGCGGTGGTTCCACTATCTGAATACATTATTATTGAACAAGAAGCAAAACCTGTTGAGTTGGAGAAGGTGTTGGATGAGGAGAAGCAACCGGAAGGAGCAGAAACCAGTCAGATGACTCTGACTGGCGAAATACCAGATGAACGTTCTTCTGTCGTTCCTCTTAGTAAAGATGTAGAACCTGGTGCTGAAACTATTCCTACGGTAGAACGTACACCTTTAGAAACTGCCAAAATCTGTGTTGATGAGAGATCTCCATCATGGATATCAGCAAAAGTTTGTGAAAAAGATATCAAAAATGAGACTGAAGAAGTAGCTGAGCAGAGAAGAGCAGAAACTGAACCTACAATCCAACAAGTGGTGGTAAGTGCCATGAAGAGTTCAACAGAAATTGTGCATGAGGTCAGTCAGGATGACGCTGTTCCTCCAGAAGCTGAACCTGTGAAAGAGGTCCAAGAGGTCTTCTCTGAAGTGGTAACTGCTCCAGAGTACCCAGTAGAAGAATCCTTTACAGAAGAGACTGAAATGGTTTCAGCAGTGTCACAACTGACTGAAACCTCAGCAACAACTGCTGAGGGTACACCACTACAGGAGGACGTGCAGTCAACCAAGCAAACTGAAGATGTGCTTCAGGAAGTTGCTGAAAAGGTAAAGTTGTCAGAAGATGGAATTGGACCCCTGACTAAAATGGTGATTGCAAACGGGGCTTCATTGGAAGAATCTAAACGGGAGATTGGAGGTTTTGTGGAAAAAGATCAACTTGAGATGGTCAAAGAATCCTATGATATGTCTGAGTGCATAAAGGAAGAAGCTGAAAAAACACCTGCTGTAGCTGAGGAGTCTGAGCCAACTGACTTATCAGAAGAAAGTGAAGATTTGCAAGACCATGGAATTACTGGCAAGACTGCAGTAAAAACCAGTGAAGTGCAAGAAGTTGTAGCAACCAGTATCCTACAGGAGGCAGAAACTGTTCCTCACAAAGAGGTTGATGCTCTTCAAGGAGACGTTCCAGCTGAAGTTATACAGAAGAAAGGAGCTGAAATGGTGCTTGTAGAGAAACCCATTGCTTCACCAAAAGTAGCTGAGGAAGCGATGGAAATAATGCAGATGGGAAAGGCAACAATTGAAGTACAAGAGATTAGCACAGCTCGAGTTGCTCAGAAATTGGACACTGGAGTGTCTGAAGCTCCAGTTGGTGATCTAGCAAAGGTAGGAGAAGAAATTGTCTGTGAAGAGATCCTCAGATCCACTTCAACAAATGTTGATGTGGAAATGAAAAAGGCTGAAACTTTATCCGAAGAGACTCTTGAAGCCACGATGGTTGAAAAGGTGGAAGTAGAAAATGTGGAGGCTGTATGTGAAACAACTGAAATTGTAGCTTCAGAAGTGGTGAGGCAAATGGGAGCAGAAGAGAATGGTGCTGTAGACGAGCAGTCCTTTGAAGCCACTCCAGCAAAAATAATTGAGAAGGTGACAGCTGCAGACATTAAGGCAGTAACTGAAGAAATTAAACCCATTTCTTCCCTAAAAGTAGGAGGTGAAAAAACTGAAGCAGCTCTTTCTTTAGAGGGGGTTGAATGTGTAGATAAAGAGCTTGCAGCTGACCAGGTGGCAGAGAGCATAGTGGAGCAGGCTGTAAAATTGTCTGCAGACACCAAACTAGTTGATAAAGTAATAGAACACAATGCTGCTCCTGCTGCAATTGAGAAGACTGAAGAACCGCATGTAGTTGAGAAGGTAGTACTGAGTGAGGTTCCAGAGGTTGAGAAGTTAGAAAAGACCAAGGATGTTGAGCATAGACTTGAACAGACAAAAAGCATTGATAAGGTGAAACAGATAGAGGAACCTGAGAAGATGGTTGTACAGATGCAGGTGGGTGAGAAAGTAGAACAGTTTGAGGCACCTGACAAAGCTAAATCAGTGCAAATGGTTGAGATCGAACAGTTCGAGACAACTGAGAAGGAAGTTGAACAGATAAAGATAGAAGTGACAAAGGCACTAGAGGTAACTGAGAAGGTGGAAGTGATCGACGCACTGGAGGTAACTGAGAACTTGGAACAGATTAAGGCATCTGAGGAAGAAGTAGAACTGGTGAAGGCACCAGAGATAATTGAGAAGGCAGAACCTATTGAGGCACCAGAGGTAACTGAGAAAGTAGACCAGATGGAGGCATCAAAGGTAACTGAGAAGGTCGAGCCAATTGAGGCACCAGAAGTAACTGAGAAAGTAGACCAGATGGAGGCATCAAAGGTAACTGAGAAGGTCGAACCAATTGAGACACCAGAGGTAACTGAGAAAGTAGACCAGATGGAGGCATCAAAGGTAACTGAGAAAGTAGACCAGATGGAGGCATCAAAGGTAACTGAGAAGGTCGAACCAATTGAGGCACCAGAGGTAACTGAGAAAGTAGACCAGATGGAGGCATCAAAGATAACTGAGAAGGTCGAGCCAATTGAGGCACCAGAGGTAACTGAGAAAGTAGACCAGATGGAGGCATCAAAGGTAACTGAGAAGGTCGAGCCAATTGAGGCACCAGAGGTAACTGAGAAAGTAGACCAGATGGAGGCATCAAAGGTAACTGAGAAGGTCGAGCCAATTGAGGCACCAGAGGTAACTGAGAAAGAAGACCAGATGGAGGCATCAAAGGTAACTGAGAAGGTAGAACAGACCGAGGCAACTGAGAAGGAAGCTGTACAGATAAGCATAGAACTGATAGAGGCACCAGAGGTAACTGAGAAGGTAGAAATGATTGAGGCATCAAAGGTAGCTGAGAAGGTTGAACAGACCGAGGCAACTGAGAAGGAAGCTGTACAGATAAACCGAGAACTGACAGAGGCACCAGAGGTAACTGGGAAGGTAGAAATGATTGAGGCATCAAAGGTAACTGAGAAGGTAGATCAGATGGAGATATCAAAGGTAACTGAGAAAATGATTGAGGCACCAGAGGTAACTGAGAAGATAGAATTGACCAAGGCAACTGAGAAGGAAATAAAGGTAGAAGTGACTGAGGCATCAGAGGTAACTGAGAAGGTGGAACAGTTTGAGGCACCTGAGGTACCTTCACCAGAGGTAACTGAGAAGGTAGAACAGATCGATGCAACTGAGAAGGAAGCTGTACAGATAAATGTAGAGCTGAAAGAGGTACCAGTGGTACCTGAGAAGGTAGAGCAAACCAAAAAGGAAGCTGAACAGATAAAGGTGGAACTGGTGAAGGCACCAGAAGTAACTGAGAAGGTAGAAAAGACTGAGGTACTAGAGGTAACTGAACAGATGGTTGAGAAGGTAGAACAAACTGATATCATTGAAGTGGCTGATAAGTTGGAAGGAGGGACTGTAGCTCTGAGTGGAGAGGTCATTGAAGTCACTTCTCTAGAGGCAGAACAGGTAGAAGGAAAGAATGGGGTTTCATGTGAAGAGAAAGTTGAAACTACTCGAGCAAATTTGGTTGAGCAAGTGGCTGCAGAAACCAATGGGGTTGCATGTGACAGGACCATTGAAACTACTTCAGCAGAGGTGGCCGAGCAGGTGGATGTACACTTACAGTCTGAGCCTGTACATGAAGTAGCCAAGCCTGAACCAGGTAAAGGAACTGAGATGATACAAGAAAAGCTTGAAGCAGTTGCCTTACAGAGGGTAGAATCTGAAATGGTTGAAGCCACCCGAACTGATCTTGTACAAGAAGTTGCTGAGAAGATCCAAACCGAAATGACTGAGGCAGTAAGTGAGGAGATGATTGAAGTGTTGCAAGAATCACTTGGAAGCACTGATAGGGAAAAGCAGAGCATCGAGGCACAGGTTGTAACTCCCACTATTCCAACAGTTGAAACTAGGCAAGAGGAACCAATTGCAGAATTGGAATGCAGAGAGTTGGTCAGAACCATCCCAGCTGAGGATGTAGAGGAGGTAGGAACAGAAATGGCTGAGGCAGCATGTGAAGATAGAAACAAACTTGATGCGCAACCTGAGCAAATTGAGGAAACTCAGTTGGAGGAAGAAGTGGGCTTGAATATGGTTACACCAGCGGAATCTGCTGTGACGATGGTACAAAATCAGGAAGCTGAGGTTGCAATTGAAGGGAAGATTGACTCTGCAGTGGCAGTGCTGGGTGAAGTTGAGCTTAGAGCCTCGTGGGAAGAACTGGCTGTGGAAACTGAAATGGTTAAGCCAATAGACCAACTTGAAGCAAAACCAGAAATGGAAGAAGACAAAATTGCCCATCAATCTGAGAGTCCTGAGCAAGGAGCAGTAGTGGAGGAAGTGATATATGAACTGATTGATGCAGCACAAACCAAACCCGATGAGGCTGAATTAGTTAAAGAGGCTGTACACAAAGATGAAGTTCAACCTGAGTGTATCAAAGCGGAGACCCCTGATGGTGGCAGAAAGAAGATGCTGTGAAAGTACCTGAAATCACTGCTGCAGCAGGATTTGAATTGTTGTCCGCTGAAGCTCAAGTAGAGGGATTTAAAGAAGCAGAACTTCTGCTTGCATCTGAACCCAAGCAGGTCGCTGATCTTGATGCAAAAGTGTGCTCGGCTTCTATTGAAGTTCAGGCTGCGGAAAATGAGGCAGCGATTCCCATTACTGCCGTTCCTGTGACTGAGAGCTTAGAGTCTCGGGAAGTTGCTTTCCCTGTGACTGTAGCAGCCATAGAAGAACAAGTTCTCACCGAGACAACAGCAGTAATTGAAGCCCCAGTGGAGGCCGAAGTCTCAGAAGTAATCGATCAGTCTCAGGAACTGGATGAACGGTTTGAAAGTACTGTCAAAGTATCAGTTGTGGAAACTGCAGCTGCCATTGTTGAGGCAGCAATAGAAGCTGCTACTGGTTGCTTTTCAGATGATGTTAATGTGGTCCACGAAACTGATTTAACTCCTGATGTGCAGCAGAGCATTATGGATGAATCACCTGAGGGGACCACTGAACACACAGATGTTGCTGAATCAAAAATAGAGTCGGCGATGGAGACTGATGGACAAAGTAGCCTCACGGGGACAGTTGAAGTACAAGGTACCGTGGCAGGATTTGTTGAACAACAGGTCTCCATGATGGTTCAGAATGCAGTTCAGAGTATTGTACTGACTGAGAACACGGTGGAAACTGTGGCTCCGGTACCCTCTGATGCTGAATGGGTAGGCAAACCAACTCTAGAAGGTGAAACACCAGAAGTGGAAAGGGCTGTAGAAGCGGAAATAAAATGTGAACAGAAAATAGCTGATCAAGAGCAAATCCTAGAGAGACTGGAAACTGAAGCAATGGAGCAAGTTAGCATTAAAGAGATGTTGATGCCAAATATTGAGATCGTGCTTGAGGCCATTAAATCCGAACAAGAACAAGTTGAGATCAAAGTATTAGAGTCAACCGAAGCTAAATGTGAAAGCTTGTTGCAAACCACATTAAAGGATTTGCAGCCTGATGAGAATTCTGAGGATGAGACTACAACACCTACGCAATCGGAAGTGACCAAAGTAGAACCATGCCAGTTATTGCAGACGTCTGAAGAAATGCAAGTGTGTGCAGTGCTGACTGAAATTCCCAAAGAACCCAATATGATAACCCAACAGCAAGCTGAAACCGCAACCTCTGTAGATGCCATGCCAGCTGAAATCTTGGTGGCTGCTAAAGGGGGTCCGACACAAGAACTTGCAATCAAAGCTGTGATTGAAACCAATGAAGATGAGCAATGGGAAGTTTGCAGGAAGAAGTGGCCCAGGAACCAGGCAATGAAGAAACTCTAAAACAGGAAAGCCAAGAAGCTGGGGTCGAGCACCAAGTGAGCCTATCCTCAACTTTACAGTGTGTGCAAATCACTACTCAACAGACGCCATCCTGAGGTAAGTTGAGACTAAACACAAAATAATACAGATAGGGAAATCTGAAAGCAAAAACAGAAGTTGCTGGGAACACTCAGTTAAAGAGGTGTTAATGATGTAGTCTATCACATCATCTTGGTCCCACATGCACCTTTTCTTTCCCTGATTTGCCTATTTTGTTGCATCTCCTTCTCTCCCCCCCCCCCCCCACCCCGCCGCCACGTTTTACATCATTATCACCTCTTTAACCCATCATCCCCTGCCTTCTACCCCATTTTCTCCTTTGTTTTCCTTGTCCTGCCTCCCCCATCTCTATTAGCCCTTAAAAGCCTCTCCCTCCCAACATGCCCCAGTTCTGACGAAGGGTCATGGACCCGAAACGTTGACTCACTTTCCTTCCTTCATAGATCTGCCTGACCTGTTGAGTATTCGTAGCGACTTTTGTTTTTGTTTTAAGTTGAGACTAGTGCACATTTACAATTGGAAAGAAATTATGGTTGTCAGTTTACTTTCTTTGGGCCCCCAAATATAAATTTTTCAGGCTCACTGAGTGCTTTTTTTAAAACCTGATTACCAGACAACTTTTTTTTATTGTCGTTTGATCTCAAGTGCACCCTCTGCACAGGTGAAATTATAAAATCTGTGCTGTCTAATGTTTGTGTAGGTAAGGTTTTATTTCCTCACTTAAGTAAATAAAATGATCAGACTAACTGGAGCTCTGCATCACTTCTGGCTTCCAGCTGAAATTAGTGCAAGTGTTGTGGTACCCCATGTTTTATGTTTTATATTGAAAAAAAATACATCTGGAGCTTGGGAAATGTTCAGTGAAAGACATTGCAGTCAAATCGCCAAAGAAAAAAACAGTGCTACATTTTAGTATCTCGTACCCTTCAATTGATTTGCCACATTGTCAGTGACCCCTTGAATTTCTGGCCCAGTCTATCTAATCTATCCTGCTTCCATTAAACTCTTAAATACCACATCTTCATCTTGCTTCAAAGCCCATTTTGGGTTTACCTGGAAAATGCTGTGATTTGTATTCAGTTCTAAAAGTACAATGAGCATTGAAATTCATGTATCTATTTCCTCATGTACTAAATTCCAAGAAACCTAGCTTGCATCCAAGTGCTAGAAAAATACCTCTGCAGTGAAACGGACTGAAATTATAGGCTGTATGATGATCTATTTAATATTATGACTTTTAGATTCATAGAATGTTACGGCACAGAAGGAGGCCATTCGGCCCATCGGGTCTGTGCTGGCTCTTTGACAGAGCAAGTCACTTTCACTAACCCCAATCACCAGCTTTCTCCCCATACCTGCAAACCTGTCTTCCCCAGATACCTATCCAGTTCTCTCTTAAAAGGTGACTTGTTCACCTACAATGAGACATTTCTAAGGGTTGTATACCGAGGGTGGCAACTTGGACCGAGGAGGGCTACTGGTGACTGCCAGACCAAAACTGAGCGCAAGTTTGTCATCTTCAGGAAAAGTGTGGTGTGGGGGTGGGATTGGAGGAACTCTGCCGTGTTAATTTATTTCAGCTTTGCTTCTTTTCCCCACTAAACAGATCTCTGAACGAAAATGACCTTAGTCGCATTAATGGAAAAATGTGAAAAATAAGAAGATGGGAGGATCGCACTACTGTTTACTGTGACCGACTGCCACTGTCTGCCAGTCCTGTTGATTGACAATCCCGAAATAATTCGAGAGCTTTGCCTACACTGTTGTAGTATCGTGGTCTAATGGTTTGTTGCTTTTTAGCCTGTTGTCCTTGTGATGAGTGTAATGTTGCTTTTTGTTGAAACAAGTGACCTTCCTGCTTTCTTCAGACTCCGCATGGAAGGGAGAGGCAGCATTATACAACTTCCTGAATTCCCTCCCCCCATTTTATTGTTAGCAGAACTGGAGAGCAATTATTTGTATATTATATGTATATCATCACTAGATCCACTTTTTGTATGTATGAAATTCCATTCTTAAATATAGTGAATATAGTAATATATCCTTTCCATGTTAGGTATTCCACCTGGATAATAGGAGAATCTACAGCAAACAATGTATGTCGACTCTGTCAACTGATAGATTCCTGATGTGAGGAGAAGTGTTTGGCTTGACTTTTTTTTGTTGCTTGCCAAGTGATCTCGGTTCCAACAATGATCTGTGGAACCATCCAGAGTAAAAGCAATATTTTAAATTCCTGCGCTCCGGCTGTTATTGCGGGCCATAGTGATAGCAAGACAGTACCCTTTGCTCAAGTTCAGTTGTCCTTTGCCACGTAAATTACCCAAACTAATCTCTTGCAGTGTACTCAAAAGTGCATTCCCAAATAACTGGGCAGAGTTGGGCTTGATCCTTCACTCACGCATTAGTGGGAGAGAGAGGAACATTTGTGCCCTTTTGTTAAAGTTATTAAATGATAATGTGCAGGAGTGGGCCTGGGCTGTTGTAATTAACCTTGTGGTTCTAGTTCCAGTATGGTCAATAGCTCTAAAATGAAAATGCAGCAAACATTTTTTTAACAGCGGCTTTATTTAAAGAAGTCTTCAAAAAGGCATTGAAACTTGGGACGCTTCACATGTTTTAAGAGTAATGTTCTCGCCCAAGAGGATGTATGTTCATGGACTGCACTGTTACCAGAAAGTCTATTGTAAAGTTTAGTGAGATTGTAAAATAAACCATGATGCACGTGCATTTAATTGAAGACTTGTTGGGGTTTGGGTTCCATTAGCACCTCCAGGACGTGCCTTGGTATTGCAATTAATGCACAACTTAGCCATTTTTAATATTCTTTGAAATTCCACCAAGAGTGCATATTTGAGTAATCCTACAATTTAGTAAGGACCATTTTAAGGAAAAGCATTTAAAGCAAAACGAACATAAGGTTCATCATATAAGGGTAGAAGTGATTCCCATCTCGCCCTTTCTCCTAGGGGTGAGAGGGGGTGAACTATCCTGCAACCATTAAAATGTACAGTTCCCACTTCATTTTATGTTATGCAGTACTTTACAGCACTAAGTTAGTGATAAGTGCACTGGAATACTGTGATTAATTTCTTGGATAAATACTGCAAAACTATTTTACGCATGTCATTTGTAGGGCAGAATTACAGGATCATCTGCAACCCAGAAGGCTAAATTGCTTGCATTAATCCTTCTGTGCTTTTTATAGCAAACTGAATGTGAAATTGAAATTTGTACAAATTGTATACCTATGTACCTTAAGCCATATTGTAATACTTAAACTGCTTCTACAAATAAAGTAATGTTAGCATTAACTGTCTTTGAATTGATGTATCAAGAAAATAAGGTGATTTTGGTGGCATGGAACTGCTAATTCCACTGTCTGGAAGATTTGCCGGATTGTACGTGTGTTCACATTTTCTTTGATCACTTACTAAAATTGCTTTTTATACTTTGTTCTTAGAAAAACTTTAATCTCAATTCCTCACTTCACTAAACTTTCTAAGGAGGTTAAACAATAACCCAAATAAAAACAGAAGTCACTGGGAACATTCAGCAGGTCAGGCAGCATCTACGGAGAGAGGAAAGTGAGCTGAAGTACAACTGACGAAAGTCATCACAGTGAATCGTTAATTCACTTTCCTCGCTCTATAGGTGCTGCCTGGCCTGCTCAATGTTTGC